ACTTGTCAATGACTGCAGAAGATACCTTGAGAGTGATGAAGCTGCTCAGTGAACTATGGAACTGTGAATGGAAAGTCAAGTAGTATTACATAGCTAAGCAATAGCTTCTGCTAGCTGGGAGAGAAACAAGATACGGCCTATAAAGCCAATAGTCTGTGGGACGCAAAGGGTGGATATAAGTGAAGATCACACCAGCGTCTAATACCTTATAAATACATCTTTCATTTTCAGTGTGCACCATTGTAATAGCAGATTTGAGGATGTATTTTTATTGTAGTAAGCACTATGCCATTTTTCTGTGAGTTTCATATCAAAGTATTAGCAATGAATTAATGCTTTGCACTAAGTTCATTATGAAACTGTGTGGCTCATAGTTGCAGCTGGTTTTCTTCTGCATAACTGTGCAGAAGAGGTAACTGTGATAAAAATTTTATCGTGTATTTAATGCCACGGTAATACTAGCCAGGTTATCACAAGCAAGACTGTTAGGATAAGTTGAGTAGGGATAAGCACGCAGAGTGATTAATATAGCAATCAGAAGAGCTCAGATCAATAAAATTCAGATGAAAAAGGATTTTTTTCCTAACTGCTGTGATCCTGATTCTCCACAGTCTAGCATTTTATATCTGTGTGAAATGGCAGTAAAGTGAATGGAGAATTCTGATCTGGCAGGATTCTGCTCTTGGCTTATGCTCAGATGTGAATGACATAAATGATGGCATCAGATACAAGCCTTTCTATCTTTTATTTAAGTATAGAAAGTAAATAAGTAATTGTAGAATGACTTGTTTATATCTTGCAAATAAGCATATTTACTGAGGGGTATTTTGTATTAATTACAGCATTTTATGTTACATCAGCATTAGCATTCCAGCAAGATGAAGACCTCTCTGTGCGGCAAATTATATGCAGGTATTTGAGCATCTGCATCATGGTACCTGGTATCTGATACAATGTTATCTAATGATTTTAAAATAGTTTTACTGACTGAGCAACAGCTTCTCTTTGAAACATAAGCCTACTCATTTTAACCTCTAAGCTAGATATAGTTAACTGATGACTTTATGAAGCAGTGGCACGTTTTGCTGTTTGCATTTACTGTACATTTTTATGATCCTGTACAATGCTGTTTCCCTATACGTGGAAGTCACTAGGAAACAAAAATGCGCGACATCTTGCAGAACTTAGCCTGTAATTTTATGCTCCACAATGAGACATACCTACAATAATCTGGCAAAATGAAAGCAACACATGTCGTATCAGCTCCAAATAAATACCCTGTCTCCTCTACACCAGCTGCATTGAAAGTGATCTGACATAATGGTGTTATATCAGCAGAGCTACTAATCTCAGATACTAGTGATTTCAGTACTGAGGGAGAGAACGCTATAGCAAATGGAGGTCATTCAATATCCTCTAGCACTTCGGACAAACGTGGCATTTTGGACTGTCCCTACTAACGGCAGAATACAGTGCTAACACTGCTGTTGCAGAGCTACTTGTGCAGGTAATCTGCTCCTAACAGCAAAGTGTCTGTTCAGATGGGCCTGTTTATTTTGGTGCCTTGCAGAAGCAACAATATTGCTTGGAAGCAAAAGGCATACTCTAGGTTTTAGTGGTAAAAGCAGAAGTCTCTGACGTATCAGAAATGAATTTTTTTTTTTTTAGATATTTAACCCTGTTTAGGAATACAGAATTGCTTTCTAGACCTTTTGCCTCCTCAGCATCTTATGTGACAGGTCATGCAAAAAAAAAAAGGAGCTGCCATGGAGGACCTGCAGTGTTCTGGTAGGAACGTAGGAATATCAGAATCCACAAAGCAAGCACGCATGTCTCTATGGTCCGCAAGCGGGAGAATTGCAATGAGAGATACAATAGTTTTACTTTAACTGGAATAAGAAGGATGCTGAGAGAATTTTGCTATTTTCAGTGTCATGAGGTGGCACATAGGAAGAATCCTTTTCCTTGGCAACAATTCCTGAGCCATAAGGTTGAACCTGTTTACCCAGGCACGGTGCCATTCTGTCAGATGGGCATTGATACACCAATTGTAGAGACCCTGTGTTGTACGTGCATCAGGTGTAAGTGTCCCAGATAGGATTCGCAGCAAGGATTGTCCATATGTCTGTCCATTCTAATTTTATATTCCCTTGTTCCATTACTAATCCAGGTATGGGTCTGATTATGTTTCAAAAATAGAGAACAGCTTTTTTTCTCCTTTAATAAGACCTCTTGCCCACTTGCATAACATAGGTTGGAGTACTGGTTTAGGATAAGTTTTTTGGAAGACAAACTTTCCTTCCTGGCCTTACCAGACCCCTTCCTTCTGCATTCAGAGAAATGAGAGCTTTATAAATCTTTTTCCTTTCTAAGCAAAGTCCCTGTAGGATCCATCAGAGTAAATCTTTGGCACCAAGCTAGATTTCATATGCACAGCAGAGTGGAAATCTGCACTATTTTGCAGGATGTTTTGGCTGAACTGGTATAAAACAGAGGTTTCAGGGTTCAAGAAAGAGCATGGCACTGGGGATTGTCTCCCTAGCTGCTCTCTCTCAACCACCACCTGCCTTTCCTCTTGATTTCCTCAGTGGCCTCAGTTTTCTGTAAGCCA